TCTGAAATACCTTCAAGATAATAATAAATAAGAATAAAAGCGAAAAGGTTGAGGCTTCCACCCCTCACCAAGTTGGAATAAAAAAGACTAAATTTTTCTTTTCCACATGAAACAGTCAAAAAAATAAACAGAAGAAAACCTATTTAAGAGAACAGTTTTCAAGACACTGGACATCAAGCAATGAAGTGGTCCCTGGTAGAAGGGAAACAAATGCAGTGAGCCCTGTGATTGCTTCAGAGCCTGGAGATGTTTCCGGGCCACAGTGCAGGAAAAAGGAAACCCTTTGGAGGCTGGTGGACTCCAGGAGTTGAGGAGATGGAGCTGAGAGTCCAAGAAATCGAGGTGGCTAGAGTTGCAGGAAAAAAGTATCAGAGATGAGAGAGATGCACAGATAACTCTGGAAATACGCAGAGGGCCCACTCAGATATTCAGTGGCGACCTTGTGTCTGTCCTAATGATTGCCTGGTTTTCTCCCCTTGCTTTTAGACAGAAGGGCTGTGTTAACACTTACTGGAGTAGAACGGCTGCCTTTGTCTTACTATATTGATCATATGCCACCTGGTAGGATACAAAAGTGTCAGTCATCCCAAGTTCAAATCCTAGCTCTTCTGCATGCACATGAGGAAATTGCCTGATGCTGAGGAAAAAGAAAAAAAAACATCCAAAAGGATTAGAGGAAACAGTACCTGGCGCTCACACCAGGCTTGGAGTAGTGCCAGTGTCCTTCAGACAGACTGGAAAACTTTATAATTCACAAAACACTGGGGAGAGGCTTTGCTCAACAGTGGGGAATAATTAGCCCTAAACTAAACGCTGCTCTGATCCAACCTAACAAATCTTAAAAGCAAGACCTGAAAGATGAAACTGTTTCCAAGTAACTAAACTACATTCCAGAACAAAGCTCAAGAATATTTATAGAAATACAAAAATATCCAGCATCCAACAAGGTCAAATTGTAAATGTCTGGCATCCAGAAAAAATTAGCAGGCATGCAAAGAAACAGGAAAATATACCCCATAATGAGGTAAAAAAAAAAAAACCCGAAACTGACTCAGAACTGACACAAATGTTAGAATTAACAGAGAAAGATATTAAAAGTAACTGTAAGTATATTTCAGATGTTCAAAAGCTTAAATGGAGACATGGAAAATTTTTTTAAAGGCTCAAATCAAATATTTAGAGTTGAAAACTACAATGTCTGAGGTGAAGGATATCTAGGTTGGGCTTAACAACATATCCACACAATGGAATACTAATGAATAATGAAAAGGAATTAACTAAGGATATAACAACATTGATGAATCTCAGAATAATAGTGCTGAGTGAAAGAACGCAGACAAAAAAAAAAAATTACATACTGTATTATTCTTTTTATGTAAAATCTAGAAAATGCAAAATAATCTGTAGTTACAGAAAGCACATAAATGGTTACCTGGGGAGAAGAGAAGGAAAAGGGATTCCAAAGGGACAAGAGGAGTCTTTGGGGGGTGATGATATGTTAACAATTTTTATTTTTATGATGGTTTCACGGGTGTATACACATGTCAAAACTTATAATTTGTCTTTTAAAATATAATTTCAACTTTTATTTTGATTTCGGGGTACCTGTGCAGATTTGTTACCTGGGTATGTTGCATGCTGCTGAGGTTTAGAGTATGATTGATGCCATCACCCAGGTAGTGAACACAGTACCCAATAGGTAGTTTTTCAAACCTTGTCCCCCTCCTTCCCTCCCCTCTCTAGCAGCCCCCAGTGTCTGTTGTTCTCATCTTTATCTCCCTGTGTAAACAGTGTTTAGCTTCCACTTATAAGTGAGAACATGTGGTATTTGGTTTTCTGCTCCTGTGCTAATTCACTTAGCATAATGGCTTCTAGATGTTTCCATGTTGCTGCAAAGGACATGATTTCATTCTTTTCTTATGGCTGCGTCTTATTCTATGATGTATATGTACCACATTTTCTTTATCCAGTACACCATTGTTGGGGACCTAGGCTGATTGCACGTCTTTGCTATTGTGAATAGTGCTGTAATGAACATATGAGTGCATTTGTCTTTTTAGTAGAATGATTTATTTTCTTTGGATATATACCCAGTAATGGAATTCCTGGGTCAAATGGTCAAAGAACCTGTTTTAAGTTCTTTGAGAAATCCCCAAACTGCATTCCACAGTCGCTGAACTAATTTGTATTCCCACTCATAGTAAAAACATTTCCTTTTCTCTGCAGCCTCTGCAGCATCTATCTTTTTTTTGTCTCTTTTAATAATAGCCTTCTGACTGGTGTGAGATGGTATCTCATTGTGGTTTTGATTTGCATTTATCTGATGATTAATGATGTGGAGCATTTTTTCAAGTCTTTTTTTGAGAAGTGTTTATATCTTTTGCCCACTTTTTAATAGGGTTATTTGTTTTTTGCTTGTTGAATTGTTTAAGTTTCTTCTAAATTCTGGATTAGACCTTTGGGCCAGGCGCGGTGGCTCACACCTGCAATTCCAGCACTTTGGGAGGCCGACGCGGGCTTTGTTGGAAGTGTAGTTTGTGAATATTTTCTCTCATTCTGTAGGTTGTCTGTTTACTCTGTTGGTAGTTTCTTTTGCTCTGCGAAAGCTCTTTAGTTTAATTAGGTCCCACTTGTCAATTTTTAAAACTTATAATCTGCATACTTTAAATATGTGCAGTTCATTGTATATTACTCAGAACTCAGTAAAGCTATTTTATTTTTGTTTGTCATGTTATTTATTTTTTTCTTTTTTCTTTTTATTTTTGGTTTGGGGGCACATGTAAAGGTTTGTTACATAGGTAAACAGATGTCATGGAGGTTTGTTATACATATTATTTCATCACCCAGGTATTAAGCCCGGTATCTAATAGTTATCTTTTCTGTTTCTCTGCCTCCTCCCACTCTCCCCACTCAAGTAAACCCCAGTGTCTATTGATTCCTTCTTTGTGTTCATAAGTTCTTATCATTTAGCTCCCACTTACAAGTGAGGACATGTGGTAGTTGGTTTTCTGTTCCTGCATTAGTTTTCTAAGGACAGTGACCTCCAGTTCCATCTGTGTTCCCATAAAAGACACGACTTCATTCTTTTTTATGGCTGCATAGTATTCCATGGTGTATATGTACCACATTTCCTTTTTCCAGTCTGTCATTGATGGGCATTTAGGTTGATTCTATGTCTCTGCTATTGTGAATAGCGCTGCAATGAAGATTCACGTGCATGTATCTTTGTGGGAGAATGATTTATACTCCTCCAGGTATACACCGAGTGATGGGATTGCTGGGACAAATAGTAGTTTTGCTTTTATTCTTCAAGGAATTGCTGTACTGCTTTCCACAATGGTTGAACTAATTTACACTCCCACCAACACAACCTCACTACCATCTGTTATTTTTTCACTTTTTAATAATAGTCATTCTGACTGGTATGAGATGGTATCTCATTGTGGCTTTGATTTGCATTTCTCTAATGATCAGTGATATTGAGCTTTTTTTTCATATGCTTGCTGGCTGCATGTATGTCTTCTTTTGAGATGTGTCTGTTCATGTCCTTTGCCCAATTTTTAATAGGGGTATTTGTTTTACTCTTGTAAATTTGTTTAGGTTCTTTTTAAGATGCTGGATAGTAGACCTTTGTCAGATGCATAGTTTGCAAATATTTTCTCCCGTTCTGTAGGTTGTCTGTTTACTCTGTTGGTAGTTTCTTTAGCAGTGCAGAAGCTCTCAAGTTTAATTAGATCCCACTTGTCAATTTTTGCTGTTGTTCCTATTGCTTTTTGTATCTTTGTCATGAAATCTTTGCCCAGTCATATGTCCAGGATAGTATTGCCTAGGTTGTCTTCCAGGAATTTTATAGTTTTGGGTTTTACATCTAAGTCTTTAATCTATCTCGAGTTCATTTTTGTATATGGTGTAAGGAAGGAGTTCAGCTTCAATCTTCTGCATATGGCTAGTCAGTTATTCCAGCACTATTTATTGAATAGGGAGTCTTTTCTGCATTGCTTGTTTTTGTCATAGTAAAGCTATTTTTAAAAACTAAAGAGACAAAAATGTGTTAACAAACCACTGAAAAACTCGGAAAATAGAGAATTCATAAATATAGCTATGTCATTTTAAAATATTTAAAATTTTGTAAATTTTAGAGAATGGTAAAATAAATATTTAAATCTATAATTTTTGTTACATCTAAATCCGTAGAATCCATAGACTACATCTATAATACTGTATCTAGTATAGTATCTGAAATTTGGTTTGGAGGTTTTGTTGTTGTTGTTGTTGTTGTTGTTGTTGTTTTTGGAGACAGAGTCTCAGTCCATCCCCCAGGCTGGAGTATAGCAGTGCCATCTTGGCTCACTACAACCTCTGCCTCCCGGGTTTAAGTGATTCTCGTGCCTCAGCCTCCCTAGTAGCTAGGACTACAGGCATGTGCTGCCATTCCTGGCTAATTTTTTTGTATTTTTAGTAGAGATAGGGTTTTGTCATGTTGGCCAGGCTGGTCTCGGAATCCTGGCCTCAAGCAATCTGCCCATCTCGGCCTCCCAAAGTGCTAGGATTACAGGGGTGAGCCACTGCGCCCAGCCTCTTTGTTGTTTTTTTCTTTGTTGTTTCATTTTGTTTTATTTTTAAACAATAAAGTTAGAACATCTTTCCTCTTACTATTTAGAACTATATATTTTCATGTTTTTCAAATTAGAAAAATGAAGTCAGAAAGCCACAAGGTAAATTTCAGTTATTTTTTCCAAATGTACCCCATAAATTAAGAAAACATTACACATTTTTTTAACCATAAGTGACTGTACATTTACTCCCTAATACTCTTCTCTGTTCGATAGGAGGTCTGGGCTTAAAACCCTCTAAATGTCTGATTAAAGACTCAAATGCTTTAATTCCTGTTGTTCTGCTTCATTAGAGATACAGTTGTGTGATGGATGCTCATTATATTTTTGAATTAACTAATTTGTGCATTCTCACATTCCAAACTTGTCTGTCCTGATTTCCCCCAGTTTGATGCCGACCGTGATGAGGATGAGGTGTTCTATGACATCAGCATGGCAGTTGACAACAAGTTGTTTCCAAACAAGGAGGCTGCAGCAGGTAAGTCACTGTGTCCTTTAGACAATAGTATGCCGTGATCACCTGCCAAATGTCTGCGGCTTTGTATTAATGGATGAAGCTCAACAAACTGCTGCAAGGTTTGAAGGATGACAAAGTCTCATACTTTCTGGTGTAAAAATAAAAGGACAAAACAAAGTGGAGAGGAAGGGCTATAAATCTGTTCCTTATAGTTGCTGCTTTCCTTCCAGTCATTGCACACATAAATTACCAGGTAGTCACAATGTAACATAGGGCTTATGTTACTATAATAGAAAAATATCTAACCTAACCCATACTTTGTACAACAATTAAAATTTACAGTATCTCCAGGACCCCCTAACTCATATGATAGGTTTCTCCCTCGTTGCCTGAATAAAGCATCCCCTCCGATCTGGTAGCCACTCCCATTCCAACCCACAGCTCCTGTGTGACCCGTGTGACCCTACCTCTTCTCTTCCTAAGTGCTCTTGCCTGGAACTTTGACCTTGGATACTGATGTAGAGTAATCATACTTCCTAATGTAGGCAATACTCATGGTTCTGTCCTGACCCTCCTCTCATTCTTTCCATACTCTGACGCTGAGTCAACTCATTGTCACATGTGGCTTCAACATCAATTCCATGTGGATGACTCTCCAATCTTAGTCTCAGTCCTGACCTTCTTTCTTCTGAGTAACGACCTCAAAGGGTAAAGACCAAAAGCTTGGGGCCGTAAAGAAAAAAGGCTAAACACTTAACATTTTAAATCACCTAATGGTAGCTTCAAAGAGAGACGGAATTACAAGAGTAAGGTGGTAATCTTTCTGGGCAGACCCACAGAACACAGGTAACTGATGTAAACTCATCTGCCTAACTTTCTGATGAGATTTATAAAAAGTTGGCCTATTGCAGGAAAGATGAAATAGTGAGAATCATGTAAGATTATGAAAACATGACTACAGCTGTTCTGAAAAATACTATGACTCCTGTGCTTTTCAAGTTAATATTTTATTTAGAAGATGCTTTAGAAACCTGTAATCCTAGCACTTTGGGAGGCTGAGGCAGGCGGATCACGAGGTCAGGAGATAGAGACCACGGTGAAATGCCATCTCTACTAACAACACACACACAAAAAAAATTAGCCGCGCGCGGTGGCAGACGCCTGTAGTCCCAGCTACTCGGGAGGCTGAGGCAGGAGAATGGCATGAACCTGGGAGGCAGAGCTTGCAATGAGCCTAGGTCGCGCCACTGCACTCCAGTCTGGGCAACAGAGCGAGACTCCGTCTGAAAAAAAAAAAAAAGAAAGAAATGACTACCTCTAATGACAAATATCTAACTGCTGGATATCCTCAGTTTGCTAATGCAGTGGGATGGAGGGGCTGATTTAAGCCGCCCCTTCTTTGGGACGCCCAGCACTGTGTGGTGTTTCTCCACTAGAGAGCCTTGTGCCCTGCGGTGATGCAACTGTGCTGGGTTTTGTACCAATAGGAAACTGCCTGAGGACAGGTGCTGTGTCCACGTTCTCTTTAGGTCCCCTTGGTCAAGTGCATAGTGCCTGAGCCTTAGCAGCAGTTTCCAAGTGTCTACTTTCTCCTCTGTGTACCTCAGAGCTCATAAACAGAAGACTCTGTGCTTACAGCCTCAACTCCCGCTAACTCTTCCACCCCTGAGACCTCCTGAAAGCTGGTTTCTGCTTCAGCCTTAGAATAAAACTGTTTCCTCTCAAACAGCCCTTGGTGAATAAAGTGCGGTAAACTAGAAGTAAAGGGTGCCTCCCCTACAGGAGGCAGATACTGTGTAGCTCCAGGGTACTGTCGCTGTTAAGGAACAATGGTGAAATCTCCTGTTGATGACTCACTCAATAAATAAGTCATATCCCTGGCCTCTGCTCTGTGAATTGTCAGCCTCCAGGTTTGGTCCCTCCACTGTTTTTTTCTCTCTCAAGTCTCTTTCTGCAGAATCGCAGCTGCTCCACAGCTCCCATGTCGCCTCCTATGAATGGCATCCAGTTCTCTTTCTCTCACCTCGACCTTTCTCCGGGGAGCCAGGCAGAAGCATTCTTGCCCTCACACTCCACACTGATCATCATTCTGCGGGGGCACCTTGGGAATCCAAACCTTTGTCTCTATTCCCACGGCAGTCACCAAACGCTTTGTCATTCCTCATCCCTGGCCTCTCCTGTCTGTCATGAATCTCCTGCTGCCATGGGGATCTTCACAGAATGCAGCCCTAATCATTCTGCCTTTCTGGGAAAAAAAAAAAAACAAAAAAAAAAACAAAAAAAAAAACCCTTCAATGACTCCGGTACCCTTAGCACAGAAGAAAGCCCCAAATCCTTTTCCTTCCTGCAGTGGTCCTGTTACTGCAACAACATCACCTCCCCCACGTCACCGGCACCAGCTTCCCCCAGTTCCCTGAATACCTCAAGTTCCTTCCTGCCTTAGGCAATTTCCACCTGCTCTTCTCTCTGCTTAGAAAACGCCTCTCCTCATTTGCATCCCTTCACTCTCCCAACCCCATAGAGCCCCATCCTGCACCTGGCCAGATTCTATTTTGTGCCTCAAGGTAAACGTGGTGTTTTTCTCAAGGAGACTTCCTCAGGCCCCGCCCCAGACTAGATTAGGCCCTTGAATAGCACCCTGTGACCCACAGGTGTACCAGGACTTTTCTTAGAGACTACCATTGCTCTGATCATCGGCTTCTTCAAGGCCTGTCTATGGTGTCTCCCCCTCAATGGAGCCCTCCACTAACACTTACTAGCAAAGCTATCTGGCTGCGTCACTCAACTGCTCTGGGTCTCCATCTCCTTATCTATAAAGAGGGGATAATAATAGCAGCTACCCCAGAGGATTGTCCTGAAGAATAAATGGTTTCTGTGTGCAAAGTATGTGGCTTTCACATTGAAAAGGCTGTTTATGAGTTCCTGTCTTTGCAGTGGATTTGAGGGCTCATGGGAAGAAACCACATCTTACACAATACAACTTTTCCTCCTTTTCCTGGGTCTACTTCTGCTGTCTTCTCCCTCTCTGCCTTCCTCCCTGCCCCAACCCTGCCCTGGAGTAACTGAACAACTCCCCGCTTCCCCTTCTCACCCAGGACAGCCCACCAACACCCAGATCCCTCAAAGAGTTCTAATCCCAAATACCATCAGGATATTTTTCCAAGTAAATACAGTGCTCTTCCCACACATTGTAATGAACCCTTTCCATGCCTGTGGAATTCGAGCTGGACTCTCAGTGCTTAATGCAGGTCAGGCACTTATAGGAGACATTTAATGTTTGCAGCGTGGATCAATGAGAGCAAGAACTATAAAGGTAAAGTGGACGTGTCCTTTCATTTTTACTCATTTGGTACATATGCATTGAACGCATGTACCTTCTAAGTTTTGTTCTTAGATTCAGAGATGAAACACAACCCTTACAGTTTAATTTTTGTTAAAATTAAACTGTAACGAAACTGTTAACGAAAATTAAACTGTAAGCTACCCTGTGAGAGACAGGACAAGGGAGAAACTGCTTTTTGCAGACGGTGCAGTTTAAGGGTTGGAGGAGTTTTATTCACAGACACCCTTCACTGCTTAAGAAGCTCTGCAATTGTAAGAGTGTCTTTATGGGGTACTCAAAGTGGGAGGAGGATTTTCCTACAACTTGCAGTTAAAGATCCACTAGGAGGAAAAACATATGAAACGTTGTCCCAGAAAGTCATATGGTTAGCCTCTGATACCTCTAAAGCCAATGTGTATCATCTTCCCACTGAAATTTAAGGAGCCAACTTGAAAATAATATTTCCAAAGGTCATTCTAAAACTAGTAGCCCTGGGTGCTTCCTCTGGGGTTCTGTATTTCAGCTCATACCTTTCTCTGTCATCTATAGAAAGAATATTTTTAAATCTGAAAAGAAATTGAAAAATCCAAACTAGGGGGAAATGAAAGCTACATGATCACTTTTTCATAACATCCTAATTTTGCTGTCTTTTTTGAGTAACAAGATCATTGCAGTTGTTTTATGTGTTAAATTATTCAGTGAAAGAAGGCAGTAATGTGTATATTTCTCTGTATTTTCCCTCTATTTTGTGTGTCAAACCTTAGACTGTTACTAAAGGTCCTATTTCCAGCAAACCCAGAAACCAAGGCTAAAAGAAAATGAAAGCCATTCAATCATTATCCAAGCTGATAATGATATCCTTTGTCTGTTGCCTTCCATGATATATTAATACTGTTGCTAGGAGTAACAATGTTTCAAGAAATTTCATCCCTGACGATACAATATAATTCCTGTGAAAAGCATTTTATTGCAACAGAGCAAGACTCCGTCGAAAAAAGAAAAAAAAAAAATTTTATTAGGAAATCCAATCTCTTCTTACTTATAAGCATGAAGCTTTCTTTTAAACAAAGGTCTTTTCATTCTACCATTGCTGAAGGTAGTTTTCTAATTATCTTGCTGCGTTTTCAAGTATTCACGTGTAATATCTGTTAACTGAATTGTTTAAGAGCCCTTCACGTTGTCCTTTTTGAAAACAATGGAAAGAATGGTTTCTAATTAAATAAAATAAGTAGGACGCAGGTACTAAAAGCAGCTCTATGTTTAATAAGATTTCACGTTCAAATCACAGTACTCACTCCGCATGAATCACTATAAATACAGGTGAAGCGAAGGTATCATTTGAATCCAATAGCTATCACCACTTCCACTAGTCAGTGGCAGATAATAATCATAGTGTGCAAGTAATGAAAGCCAGCTAAAATTTGTGTTATCTTTAATGATGCTGTCAATAGCATTGATTGCTACCAGCTTGAAT